TTTTTTTTCTTGACATTTTATAAAATGGCAACTTGACCACTCATATTTTATGGCCTAATGTGCCAAAACTTTTGACAGGATTATAAAAAAAATTCTTATTAGTTTCCTAAATTTCTAAGCAAGCGCATAAATGCGGGAGTGATATGTAAATGAGTCAACACAACAGATTAACAAAACAGATTCACACCACTTGAAGAAATTAGTGAGTCAGAATAAAATTCATTTTCTTATCACAGAGAGGGACCRAAGACCAGATTCAGCTATAAGCCAAAGCAAGTCTGAAGAGAGACTTTCAAGAATGAAGAAATGCTGATCATCACAGATACAATGGTGAATGAGATCAGAGGCTTTTGGAACAAGAAAAAAGTCAAAGTTCTCAGATTGGCTGATAAAGTGTCTGACCTCGCAGAGAAGATTCTGGAAATCCAGCTTTGAAGACGCTCGTCATTCATACAGGAAGTGATGAAGTTAGGAAAAGACAGAAATTCTGAAGAAGGATTTAATCCCCTTCCTGAATGCAATTCAGAATCTCAAAATGGGGGTTTTCATCAATAGGTCCATCCCTACAGCARGAGGTGGACATTTAGTAGACTGTTTGCTCTTAATTGCTTTTTGAAAGAGTTCTGTGCTGACCACTCTGTGGGYCACGTCAACAACTTTAACCTGTTTTGGGAATGAAAACATCTGTTCAAACCTGATGGACTGACCTTGAATCGATCTGGAGCTGAGATTCTAGATTCAAACGTGAATCACGTTCCGGCTYGAAACAACAGAAAACAACAGGAGAGTTATCAACAGGTGTCTGAAGGATAGCTGGAGCCAACTGAGACAGGATTGGAACAAGGAGACTTCTGCAACCAGAAGTCTCAGATCAGAACCACAGAGGAGTTACTTCAAGCTGCAGAACTGGAAGAACTGGATTCATCAACATCACAAACAGAGGAACTGGAAAAGGGGTTCCCCCAACCTGCAACTGAAGAACAACTGAACACCTCTTCTTCTCCACCAGAGAAACCCAAACCGTCAACTGAGAATGAGGATGTAGAACCAAGAAAAATGTGTTTCCCTTGATGGAAATGAGTTTGACATCCCTGCTTTACATTTTGAGAGCATTAGCTATTACAAATGTCTTTGCAATGAGCAAAACACTGTTTTGCTTAGTGGGGAAAAAAAGATATGTGAAAAAAAAACTATTTTAAAATTCCAAGTGCAATGATTATTTTTTTTTTGTTCTTTATCCTGCTTAATCTCCACGTCCTAAAGCAACCMTTGAAACAAAGAATAATTTGTTCATATAACAGGGTTAAAACAGCAGAGACTGCAAAAGAAAATTAATGGTTCAAAGAGGGCAAGTCTCCTCAGGAACCCTTCTGGTAAAGTCCCACAAATCACAATAAAGAGTGCTTTCATCAGGAATAAATTCGATATTAAAACTGTGCTCCCTGATGTGCTCCCTGATGTGCTCCCTTTGCTAATCTGATTTTAAAGCTATCTCTGCTTTGATAATTACTTAACAGAATAATTTTGAGGCAGTCACCGTAGAAATGAGGCATTACTGGAGTATATAACAGGAGCTTAGGAAACCAATCAACTCTTGCTGGCATGTAGGAAAGCTTTTCTATTGTTTTCATTCGTCACACACACATGGTGTGTGTGTGTTGGATACACAGTGATGAAACATCAGGTGGTAGCTGTTAAATCTTTCAGGTGTGTCTTTCAGCTCTGTTGTTTCTTGGTCYGTCTATGTTCCTACCCTCACCTGTGGTCAGAAACTGGGTAATTGAAATAGATAGGGTAAGAAGTTCATCGAGGGAGAGTTGGAGGAAGGCAGCTGCTGCTCTACATCAGAGGAGCCAGTTGAGCAGGTTCAGGCATCTGTAGCCCACATAGCAAAATTAATCTGGCCCAGTTCTGGCCTACACAAACACTCCTGACACTTGGCCCAGATTCTGCAAAAAATGACGACCCTTAGGTGGCCCAGATGTGGTTTGCCAGAGGTGGTCCATTCATCGGCCAGCACCACATAAACCAAACCACAACTGGGACAGTTGTGGCATTCCATTTTAAAAACAGTGCTATTGTTGTCAGACCTGGCCCACATCCAGTTGACAAACCATTTATCATGCAGGCAATCAGACAGCAGTGCTGGACTGGCACAGATCTGGTCCACACCTGTCTGCTGTGTGGGAAGAATTCATAAGTGTTCCAAGCATGTCCGAATGGTAGATGGACCCAAAACACTCTGGAAAGACTATCAGCTGGCCTGGAAACACCTTGGAATCCCCCCAGAAGAGATGAAAATAAATGTCTGGGCTTTCTTAGTTAAGCTGCTGACCCCATTGACCCAAATCTGGACGGCAATCAGTTATTTTTCACAGATACAACTCAAGAAACCATATCTTTGCAACAAGCTGATTTGTTAGAAAAAGTCAGCTAAACAGTAAATTTTATATTTATGACTCCACAGCAGGTCCACATAGGAGGGAGGAGAGTCTATATTTATAATGTGCCAGTCCTGCAGGAGCCATTTCAGACAATCATGGTCCTCTCAATCTGTTTCAGCGAGTCTGATTAGAGAGCAATTTCTTTCGCAGGCACCATCGACCAAACATCCCATTTTAGGAGCTTGCCACAGCATTGTCTCCATCTGTTTAACGGAGTCATGACGTCTTCCGTTAACACGGGTAGACAGACATCAAACTGGCCCTGATTCTCTGCGGGYCAGCTTTTATGGAGGACATGTCTGTTTATAGTAAGCAACAGAGAGAAAGAGGGACAAACATAGAAGGCAAGGGTTCTTCATGCCAGGTTTTCGTGATATATGAGAAATCCTCTTCAGACACCCTTCTGTTTTATTCAGAAAAACATTTGGAAGTCGGTTAGAATGAGAAACCCTGTAAGACCCAAATACAATGCACACACATGTGCAACTAATCACTTTAAAGGTGTCATGAGATATTTGGATAATGCTCAGGGGCAGGTGTGTGTGAGACGAGGGTTACTGATGAAGGATGCCCTCTTCAGGAAAAATATTCATGTCTCTGTTTAGTAGACTTCAAGAAATATTCTATTGTGCTCAGTGAAGAGAAAAAGTGGTACAAGACGTGACCTAAAAATTAGTACTTCAAACTACTATAATTTATACAACACACAACAGGTCTTGATTAATGCAAACATTAAACTATCTCTGTAAGTCCCTGTTTATTATAGTATACATGGTTATTATTATACAGTAACTATAAGGTTTAAAAGAATAGTGTGATTTCTCAAAATTAAGCTCCATCTGTTGGTATGACTCATGTCTTTCAAATATCAATTTTCCTCTAATCCAAACCGATTATTGCATGTAAACATCATTAAGTTGCCTCCACCAGGCACTGAAGGCACTTCTCGGAGACATCTCAYGAGATCCAAAATCAATGTGAGCGGCCACAAGATGACTTTAAGAAAGATGATTTGGAGCTTGACTCTTTTATTGTATACTTAATGCATTCTCAGAAAAACCAACTAAAAATAAGTGAGAGGGATTTCAAATGTAAAAGACAGAAAAGACTTCWGGAGAAAAAGACTTAAGTGGTAAGAACGATGCTCAACAAGAGGCCCAGCTGCAGAAGTCCGATCCCAAACCTGAATCCTGTCTTTAAGTGGGTTGTCACACATGAGCCATAGTGGGTCCTAATGTAATTAAATGCTTCAAATCTACATTGATACAAATTTAAGCACTTAAGTCAATTAAAACTGAATTAATCATATTTTATCTTACAGAGCAGGTTTTTGACATTACACTCCCCGTCTACATCTGGAGCAGTTGAAACATCCTTGAGCAAAGCTATTTAAATCTCTAATGATTTTCAGAAGGCCATGTTCTATTAAAATGTAACAGAAGAGAGAAACTAAAYTGATTGATAATAACCTGAGAATCTGTGTTAATTGAAGTAGTAGAGTTAGAGAAAACTCAGACGAAGGGCAGTGAGAGCCATCCATCTTCTCCCAGGAGATCCATGTGAAGATGTGCAGCTCCCATTAATTCTGAGCAGAGCAAATTGTTCAGCAGCCAAAAAAATCTAACCAGTCAAAATTATATTTGTTACAATAAAGCTGGTAGGTTTTTCCATAAACAATGCAGCACCCATACACAGGAGTTCTTGTTGGTTTGTTTGAAAACGTATTCAGATCACAATTTTAATATTAGATTAGTTCAGAGTACATCTGTGAATGTTATTACAGATGTTTCAAGAAAACAAATGCCTTGAGAATCTATTGCAATGATCCCCCATTCCTGCTCCTTGGACACTTTCCTGCATGTTTTTTAAATGTTTCTGCTTCAAGACATCTAATTTGAATAGCAGGCTTTTGCAGAACCTGAATAGCTTATAGCCTTCAAGAACCACTTTTATCCACTGATTTATGAAGTACAACACTGCCATCATCTGGCAGTATTGTATGGGACTTCAAATAAAAGTACAACAAAGGGTACGAAACTAGCCGTCAAAGTAATTTTCACATAAAAAGAAAATATACAAAACATATTTCTTTGATTGCTTTTCTTTGTCCCCCCCCCCCCTTTTTTTGGGAACTGGCGCCGATCTCCAGCAGTCTCATGAGAATCTGGAGACGTCCTGGACAGGTCCATCACAGGGACCCATGAGACAAAAGAAAAACATTTGCTTGCACCCAGGGACTATTAGTCACCAAATTAACCTGTGCATGGAAACTGGAGTTGCCATTGAAAACCCATGTGAACAGAAGATAAACTCCAACCAAAGACCCCAAATCGTGTGCTCTGTCTTCTCCCAGATCTAGGAACTGTGCCAGTAAACCGTTGAATACTTAGTACCATGTTTGATATTTGTGAAATACTGATGAAAACTTATTTTTCACCTATATATTAAATTATCTGTAGGTTAATTAGACCAAATATCAATGATGTGAAAACACATTTGCACAATAATTTCTTCAGTTGATGTAGTGAGGAACAAAGCACTGCAATTATTATAAACATTTAARTGTCTTTATTGGCCACAGATAACCAGGTTAGACAAGTACACCATATTGTTTCAGAACTGCTGTGTATGGAGCAATCTTGTTTTCAACATTTTTCTCTGCCAGCTTGGTCAACTTCATCTGCGTCTTCTTCGTGGCATAGCGGAGCTTMGACTTCTCCTTTCTCTTCTCCTCCAGAGTGGCTGTGATTGCCTGGTACTTCCAGCCAACCTCATGTGCCAGACGCCCAAGCAGGGCAAACTGACGAAGAAAAAAAACAACAAAAGAACGAAAAAGAATTATAATCTGTGTGATGATGGGAAAGAAAACTGCACATTTTTTATATAAACATTGGCATGCCTCAGTCTTCATTTTTCTATTTTCATGATTACAATTCATAGAAGGGAGAAAAAAGATTCATCACTGACAGCCACAAGAGTCCACAGATTGTTTTTTGTTGTTTTTAAACATTCAGTGGATATTGTTTCAGTCCTGTTCACACATTTACAGATTGAAAGTTTCCAGCTGATGCACAGGGTATCCTGGACTCAAATCAGCATTCTGAACTGTAATGTGTGTTACATAGTAAACATTTAAGGCTCACCTTACGAGAGGGCTTCAGGCGCACAATTTTTAAAGCAGCTGGGACAACCATGCGCTTTCTCTGTAAATGAAAATCCCAATTAGAAAAAATACAAAAGACAATGTATTTATTGATTGGCACGTCGGTCAAGAGTTTTGTTTCATGATTACTCAATGAAGGGGGATGAACGAAATAATCAAGGGCAGGTGATTTTCAGAAATTATGAAAAAGGAGAATAAATAAAAACACACCTTGTCATAGGGTGGAGGGATTCCATCAAACACCTTCAGCCTGTCGAGAGCAGCCTGGCCCCTCTTGGTTTTGTGGGGCAACATACCTATTTAGAAAAGAACCTTATTGGTTTAATGCATTCAAGCTGGAAGGGTTAAAAAAAAAAAAACACAAACAGAATGGTACACTATTGCTCAACTCAGAAGTCAGATCCATAAAGGTTTGTTCATCAATAGATGATCAGCTTCGGGATAAAAAAGCTCATCATTGTCAAGCAATGCCTCATTTGGGCCGAGTTAAACCACCACAGGATGACAGTGCTGCATCAAAAATATACTTCCACTGATGGTCAAACTTTGAGTGGGTCAACTGGAGCTCCATGCTCACCTCTGACAGTCCTCCAGAAGATCCTGCTGGGAGCTCTGAAGTGGTAAGGTCCACGAGAGGGATTTGTGTTCATCCGCTTACGCAAGAAAGCCAGGTACTTCACTGTTGGAGCACATCATAAAACATTACAGCTCAACTACATATTCTTCAAACCACTAGATGGATGCCATTTCAGACAATAATGCTGTCTCAGATGGTAGTGCATGTAAGGTATTCTCATGGTCAATGAAACTCAAACTATAGTGACAAATTATCATCACCGACAAGCAGATCCATAAAGAAATTAAATCATATTTTACTTACGTTTGTTACGATAGAAGTTACCGGATATGTTGATGCCTTCYCATCTCACCACGACCACTTTTTGTCCTAAAAGAAAACAAACAGGTTGACTAAACCTACAACTATTTGTCTCTGTTAACATGTAATAATTTCAATAATGTTATTCATGGTTGTTGAAAGAAAAATGAAACTCAGATTWAAGGATTAGTCCATTTCACAAGATGCATCTGCCTCAAAGAGTAAGGGGTCCCCCAATTGTTTTAGACATATAGACACAAGACAAAGTAATAGAAGAAATAGATCCTTCAGATACATTTTTCAGGACTGCATTTTAAAAGGATAATAAGCATATTAATAAATAAATAAATTTAAAAAAACTAAAATTGTATCTAGAATTGGCCATGTAAATTTTTTTATCTCGTCTAAAACCTGCTTATTTACTCTGTAAGCTAGATACTTAAGATGAATGATTAAAAAGCTTCTGAAGAACTTGACACACTGAAAAGCATGAAGGARAGTGGCCACTAAGGACCACGTTTTTTTAAAAATCTAAAGCAAGCATATATAAACTTTTAAAAGGCACAAGTTATGTAAAATTTTACTTTTTAAATATTTCCCCCCTAATAATCCAATGGCTCTATCAAATTCAAGTCAACATTCGATTTAGACACAAAAAAATAAAATAAACATACCTAGGAGGAGCTGTTTGGCCACAATGGCAGCCAGTCGGCCCAGTAGATGGCTTCTGCCATCTAACAGCAGAACCTGCAAAACAAAAGTTTTAAAATAATGTATGTTACTCAAAACACACACCCATTATCCCTCCTAATGTTCTTCAGCAGAGGTGAACAATCTCCTGGTTTTCAGGCCAATACCCTGCTAGGTTTTTTTTTTTATATTATTTCTCTGCTTCATCACACCTGATTTGAATGAAGGTTGATTAATGAATTTCTGCAGAACTTAAAGGCGTGATTTAATCACTGWATCAGGTGCGTTGAAACAGAAATTAGCACATGCAGGATAGCGGCCTTCGAGCACCAGGAATGGCCACGTTTATTTTYCTCAGACACAAGGCTTGTTTGTTGCTGAAGTATTACACAATCGAGACACGTAGACGTTTGTTAATTCAAAAATGACTACAGTGCTCAGTGGCTCACTATAACATATATTCTCTGTGAGGTTACAACGTAAAGAACGAACCCTAGCATTACCATTACGCAGGATAAAACTATTCGGGGG